AATCCAGCTAAATTTTTTGATTACGTAGAAGTGTTCAAGTAATTCTATAAATAAATAAATAAATAAATTCAAAGGTGTACATATAATACTCCTCTGATCCTAAATGTAAAACCCTTATACTAGTGTATATAAGGGTCTTACATTTAGGACCGGAGGAGTATAAAACAGAAAAATTTGTATGGTCATAAAAAACAACTCCTATATATATTATTTAATTATTTATACGAAGTAAGTTTACCCCAAATTTAACGTTATAACAATTTTAAGCAAATATTCTTAATATGCTATTCACGGTAGCCAATAAAATGAGAACTGTACAACTCCTAATAATGCCACCAAGTCCTTCTTTTATCTTCACCCTAAAACCTACAAGCGATCTTTCTTGCCCACAACTTTTTAGTAAGGCGTATTATCATAGCTACTTCTCAACAGGCTTCAAACCAACAACAGTGTGAGGGATTGGTTCACGTAATAACTTGAATTGCTTCTTCGTTGTTATCTCTCATAGGTCTTTTTTTTTTAGACATAAGTATTTTTTATTGAAAACAATCATATTCGAGACAATATTGGATACTAAATACAGGTATTTCTCCTAACAGAAATTCAAATTTTAGTTTATCACGCTATAAAAGACTAGTTCCTTCTGTTCGACTCAATAGCTGTTGGTAAAGAAGACTCTTTTATGTTTGTGGCTCAAAGCAAGCAAGTTAACTCCATGAAGCACGCCAAAGCTTCCACCACTAATTAATAATATTACTCACTCCGTTATTTATTATAAGAGACATTTGATGCTTATGGCATGTTCCTATATATAAGAGACACTTAAAAGTTGTCTCTATTGTTTTGTGTTGATTTCCTATTTTATCCATATTTATTGTCTCCAACTCACACTCTCTCTCCTTCCTACTTCTTTTTCTTTGAATAATTTACCATTGTTCTCTCTCATACTCTCTCTCCTTATTAATGAGGGCCTTTTGGAAAAAAATTATACATTTTACACATTGATTGTTCTTAACTAATTTTAACTGTTTTTTTTATCAACATAATTCAGTTATTCATCTCTTATAATAAGAAACAGAGGGAGTAGTATTTATATTATTTTTATTTTTTAAAATATTTCTTCACTTATTTTAATAAAACTTAAATATAAAAAATTGTCAAAATAAAAAATAGGGATAATTAATCCACAGCTCCTTATAGTTTCAACTAATTTTGAATAAGGTCTTTATAGTTTTTTTTCTTTTTATCAGGTCCTTATACTTTCACTTGTTTTTAATTAGGTCCTTATATTTATTTTTCTTTTTATCAAGTCCTTATAAGTTCACCTTATTTTTAATTAAGTCCCTGAATTTTTTATTCTTTATTTTATAAATTCTAATAGTACTATTATATAAACATAAAATAGTATATATTATTTAATATTAGTTTATAAACAATAATATTCTAAAGATATTGAATTATTATAATGATTTTAATTTTTTCAGCAAAAAAATTAATTGTTCTAAAAATTTTTCCTGAATTAATTAATTCTATTACTTTTTTATTACATAATTATTAATTTAATTTAATTATTAATTTTATATTTCAGTATTAATCTATTTAATTAAGCTTTTATTTAATTAATAAATAAAAATTAAAACTACATGGACCTGATTAAAAATTTAGTGAAATTATAAGGACTTAATTAAAAGAAAAATAAATACAAGGACCTAACTAAAAAAAAGGTAAAAGTATAAGGACCTAATAAAAAGAAAAAAAAACTATAGGAACCTGATTCAAAATTCGTTGAAACTATAAGGACTTACGGATTAATTAACTCTAAAAAATAATACTCCTCATGTCCTTAATATAAGACCTATTTAACTAATTTGATTAATTAAAGAAGTTAGGTAAGTTAGTTAATTATAAGAAATATGATATTTTTTTTCCTAAAATACTATAATTATCTTTCTTAATATCCTCTCTCCCTTTTCAACTTAATTATGGTTGGGAGAGTATCCATAGGAGTAATTTAAGAAAAAGTGATAAATTTGAAAGGTAAGTCTTATATTTAGAACAAAAATCAACTCAACAATTAGGTCTTATATTAAGAACAATAACGGGTAAACTAGGAAACGTTTATATTGAATTTAAATAAATCAGCCGCTATTTTAAAAAGAAAAACATACCCATCATGCATGCTACTTTTCCCAAATAATAGATGTTCGAGTTATAATTTGCCTGTGAAATTTTTAGAGCTTTAGGTCTAAGGGAAGAACACAAGCTTTTTAATCCAAATTACAAGTTTTAATACATAAAAAATTTAACAAAAAGGGTTTAATGCATAATGAATAAGAATCATATGCAATGTGAAACTTCTTATTACCATAAATCTCATGGTATCTTTCGAACATTTCGCTGTGAGGCACGACAACAAGCACTCACATGCTTTGAGGTGCTTTAGTTGAAGCTAAAATGATGATATGGGAGATAAAAGGGGCATTCCGAGAATCGAACTCGGGACCTCTCGCACCCAAAGCGAGAATCATACCACTAGACCAAATGCCCGATGTGCTGACTGGCGCCAGATAGTAACCTGAATAGTCAGAATTCATCTCCAGCAATTTCCCCACAGCCCCTTCCCCATCTGGCCATCTCTCTATTTCCATGATTTTCAGTCTCCTGAAAGAGTCCCCCACATGGCAGTATTTGGCACTAATCTCCTTTCCCAATTTAAGGGCTCCAATGCGGGAGCACGCACTTAATCCAGTGCCGGAGAGTCTTAAGTTAGGGTCCGTTTGATTAGAGATAGGAAAAGTAATTTGTTTTTTATTTAACTTTTGAAAAAATTAGATTGGATAAAAGTTAATGGTCAGTTTGGATTAGTGGTAAAAAAAAAAACTTATTTTCAATTTAACTTTTGAAAAAGTTATATTGGGTAAAAGTAAAATTGGGTAATGTAAATTGTGTTTGGATTTGATTTTATAAAAGTTGGTTTGTAAAAGTTAGATTTGATAAAAAGTTATTTGGATTATGAAAAAATAATGGGAGGAATGAGAGAATAATCCGACAAGTATAATTATAAGCACGATTATTACTTCAAAAAGCTACCTCCCCCAGCTTAACATTAATCAAGCATTTCCATCCATTTTTGGCCCCTAAGTGCGATGGCCTGGAAGTTCTCCCAAACAAGTTCTACGTTTTGCAACGTACTTATGGTGAAAATAAGTTACTTATGACTTACCAATTGCTCTCCCAAACAGATACTAAATTGGGTAATGTGGATTGTGTTTAGATTGAATTTTATAAAAATTAGTTTATAAAAGTTAGATCGGATAAAAAGTTGTTGAAATTATAATTAAATAAAAGTAAGTTTAGTTTGTAAAATTACCAAAATAAATATGAGTTTTATTAAATAATAAAAATGATTAAAAAATAAATTTACATAATATTATGAATTTAAATTGGTAAGTTTAGTTTGTCAAATTATCAAAATGAGTATGAGTTTTATTAAATAATAAAAAATAAAAAAATAAATTTACATAATACAATGAATTTAAATTATTTTAGTATGAAGAAACAAAATTTCATGATTGAAAAATATTTTAAAACATTAGAAATATCATAAAATGTTATTGTAAATATAAAGTGAAACATAATTTCAATAGATAAAATATTTTTAAATTAAAATTCATTGTATTGTGACAAGCTTAAACAAAATAACATTACATAATTAATTATCTGATAAACTGTGGACAATTTGGTTTTTGATTGTGTCATGGACGTGATTTATATGCCATGAAAACTGTGATGTTACATTTGAAGACAATGCTTAACTAGCTTCAGTGTGATCATCTGCCCCAATTATAGTATCATTTTCAACTTCTAAGAAATAGTTGTTGAAGCTCGAATGTCTCCTTATAAGATTATGCATCACCGTTGTTGCACATACCATGTACACTTGTGTTTGGAACTCATAACCATGCATATTTTGTAAGATTTGACATATATTCTTATAAACCCCAAATGTTCTTTCTATTGTGCACCTTAAACTGTAATGATAATAATTAAAGGCTTGGTTATACTTGTTGTCAGAAGTTTAGAAGGTAGTAGCGCTCTAATCTATATGAATCAAGATATCCATTTAGTGTTGGATATCCCGCATCAACCAAATAACATTTTCCTAATGATTCATGAAACTATTGTGACATTGTGAAATTAATTAAAATATAAATAATTAAAAATTAGCTTAGTTAAAGGTTATAGATATATACCTAGAGGTGGCTAAGGGAAATTTAGAGACAGAGTTGCAATAGCTGTGTTAAACACATGAGCATCATGTGCAGATCCCTCTCATCCTGACAACACAAAAGTGAAACACATATTCCATTCACATATAACTATAACATTTTGTGACGGGAATCCTTTCTACCAATAATTTTGTCTCACTTTGCAAATGGAAAAACACATTGTATAAAAGTGGCATCAATTGCTTCTATTGCATATTTAAAAAATAGATAATAACATAAATCTTGCACAATTTTTCTATGAGGTTCATGAAATGTAGGATCTAAGGGTTGAATAATTTCCCTTAATAGATTAAGTCAAATTTGTAGTACATTGTGAAACTGCCTACTTATAGTTTCCCCTGAACATTAAAATCATTCCTAGATCATTCTATTGCATTGTCTATGTGTAGTCGCGTTTAAAAACATAGTGACAATTTATTTAATACCTACATATTTAGACTCGCATAAACCATGTTCTGCCAATTTAGCATATAAGAGGTTGAAAACATCTTTATCCACTTTGACTATTTCATGATGTTGCCAATCATCGTGAGTTGTCAAAATGTCTTACACCCATAAATTCCATGTTTACTCACTAGTTCTACAGTACTATTCACACATATACCTTTGATAATAATGACTCACTAATGCTAGTAATGCATCTACTACTTCATATTATGTTAATTCATTATTTATAACAAATAACATGCAGAATGACTATCCCGATCCCCTCCCTTCCACTATGAATCATTATTCCAATTCGTCAATGTATCTTCATTTCACAGTGAGTCAGCATTCCAATTGGCCATTGTATGATGTTTCCTGTAATTAGGAGGAGAATAAAGCATAAACATTGTAAGTAGTAAATAAATATATTCCATGTTATAAACAAATAAACCAAACACACAAATAAAAAGTCAAAATTATCGTACTCATGTTACATACTCATTAATTAAGTTCTTATAACAGACATCAGTTCATATTAAAAAAAGTACAATAATGAAGACAAAATTATAAAGTCCTCAACCAAGAATCCCTTTCATGTGTTTGGGTCTTCTGGTGCTGGTATCAACCACTTTAACAACTTGTGTTTATCATTCATAAGTGACATATACACTTTCCTAGCCCACCTCAACCGGGAAACCATTTTAACACATTCATAATATGGTTCATTGTCATCATCGTGGGAGCCCGGGGCTCTAACCTCATGCCTGTTGAAGAATGAGCTGGAGACTCATAGGTAGTGGCTTGGTTAAGGGAACCCACCGAAGCCGTAGCGAAAGCAAGACAAGCTTCTCAGTGTTAGCTAGGTGTGTCAAAACCTTGTTAATTGAATGGGGATCATTGTTCAATGTTGATGCTCGCTGCTTAGAAGCAGATACTACAACATTAAGGCTGTCAACAATTTATCTAGAGGTAGCAACTTTTTTATTCTTGTTCCTATAAAAAGCCTCACTCTCTTCCTCTTTCTATAGCTTCCTGAACCATTTCATCTACTAACAGCAAGGTTGTTTAAGTTACAACTAGCCAAATCATCTGTTAGTCCTACATTGGCTATTGGCATGACACCAAAATTTTCGTCTTTGTTGTCTTCCGACCCTTCCTCTTGGTCCAACATGACTCTATAAACATTGTCCTCGCTTTCTGTGTTAGTCTGCATAGTAGGTGCTGGCTCAGGTTGTGTGACAAATGGTGCGTACATATAATCTCCCGAAGCCAAAATATCTCTGAATATTTTCATCAAGTCAGATGCAAACATCAACTCTTGACGTCTAAACTTCTTGAAATTTGGGTCCACCCACATTCATAGAATTAGCCATAATCAAGCTATGTTTGAACTAATATTCCAAATTAAAACCCAAGGAACACAAATATTTACCAGTAATTTTTGTTGCCACCACTCATCAGAGGCCAACACAGTATTTGTGGCAGCATCATACCCTATGCCAATCTCTCCAGACATCAATGATTCCCATAACTTCTATTTTTCCTCAATATATCAAATCTATTTTTTAGCTGTTTCTTGTCATAAGATTTCCCACTCCTTTTATTAAATATCTTTGCAATATTGTTCCAGCCGGGCTTTGTGAATGCTGTGCCTTATCGTTCCTTTTTCAATATTTGGTTGGCAAAGACATCGATAAAAATTTTAGTCGTAAATGCATCCCATGTTGCTTTTCCTTTCGCATGGTCCATATTTCTATGGAATATAATACAGATAAGAGTAACCAAACAAAGGATCTCAAGCAAGCAAAGCTACACAAATCAGCACATAAAATTGCCGCATCATCTTATCCAATAGGTAAGAGTAAAACAATGACGTGGATTATCACCTCATGAAGTGACATGCAAGAAAAATTCTAGAGCGAATTTAATCAACCATTGAAGCCTTTTGCATGATAAGTAATAAATCTTTACTGACATCTTAATCTCTCTCACAAACTCTTGCATTTCTTGAAAAATAGCACAATTATGGAGTAAGCCACTGATATAATGGTTCCATGAATGCTTGTGTTTTCACGTCATGTTCTACTCATGTCAACTGTTTCATGAACAATCATGTTTTACTCAGGACAGGTAGTACAGAAACAAAAGGATTAAAACCTACCAAGAAACAATGATTAATATTCACATCAAGAAATGGAAATCATAAAACAATAGTTGAATACCAAAACGGAGACAGCCTCCTCGACCACCCCTGCTACTGTGACTGTGACTGCACTACTTACAGAGACAAGAATGTATTCAGTTAATACCTGCAGCAACAACAAGATTTAAATGTTCAAGGAAACAGACCAACTTTTACCGATATACATTTAAATTAAACAAGAGAGGTTATTAATGACAGTTCAAATATATATTAAATAAATTAAGCATATAAGTACTATAAAGGACAAAATCCGACCATCAGAAAGGCCAGTGCTCCACCAAAAATCATCAGCAAGCAACTTCGATTATATGCGATGGATTATTGAATTATTAACATCAATTGAAAACTGTTATCTTGTCTGTTTAACTCTTTCTCAAGTTTGTTAACTTGTCTTCGTATCCGGGGGGAAAAAAAAACGTAGTTATTCAAATTGTTTCCCCACATGCCTATTCATATGTTTCCCCATCAGAATAGCTTCAAATGTTAAAAAAAAAAAAAAAGCATAAAAAATCTGGTGAATGTAGTCAAAGGTCCCGCAAAAGAGCTCACCTGCACCAAATCCGGGACCCATGCGACCTAAGAGGAGGAGATTTGACAAGAAAAGATGATTTCAGGCCAACCTACCCACACACAACGACGAGCATGAACTAGCGATGCCAAAGACTTGTTGGAGACAGCGACTGCGACTTCCACACGCTAAGAACAGAGCTGACGAAGCCAGAAGGGTAGAAGAACAGCGAGCACAGATTGACCTCGACTTTCCCACGGCGAGCACAAGCTGGCCATGGAAAGCATGAACCGCTGATGGCGACCACGACTGGCGATTGATCTAACAAGGCGACAAGACAAGCTCGAAGACAGAGGAGGTGCGTGAAGCACGAGACAAATATGAGGAAGAGGAGAGAGAATAATATTTTTCTAAGCCACCAATAATTGTTATAACAGTCCTACCAACATCATAAGCACTATTAGCTACAAGCATAAGCAAGGGAGCAGCTTCTGAAAAAGCCAAATTCAAACAACTTTTGGCCCTTAACAACAACCAGAGCCCAAACGTGCTTAACACTCTAAAAGCCACTTATTCGAGATCCAATCGTGGATCCAAACACACACTAAATGATGAATAGATATTCTCGTTTTAGAAATCAAAAGAAGTGAACTCCTGAAATTGGTTGTTCACAAGCACGCCCCAGCAATGGTGCTCCGTGTGATTATAGCCATTCAACACCCTCCTTGCACATGCTTTTAAAGAGCTGAAATGCTTCCTCCTACATATTCCTAAAGGCATAAGTATCTATCATAGTGTTTTCATGAAACAGAATCTCTATCCGCAGGCATATGATTAAACAAATCACGGGCAGCCTCCACTTTCCCAAACCTACCATCCATGGAGACCAATGCATTGTGCACTACCAAACTCCACACCAGAGAGCTCGTTTCAATAGACTTGTGAATCTCCACGCCAGCAACACAATCCAACGCTTCACCACGAGCCTTGAGAACAGATGGATAAGTGAAATTGCCTGGTTTAACCTGCTTATTCATCATTTTCTTACTGACAGAAGTAGCCTCTGGAAAAAGTCCATTTCTAACATTGGACGACATGAGCAAATTCCAAGGTAAAGGGTCCAAAAAATTAGTGGCTTCGATAGCAACTTGAGCATCAGCGAGAAGATCGACACTTGCATTAAAAAGTGATGAGCCTAGGAACCATAATGGGGTGTTAATCAAAACCAAGTGAAATAATCTGGACATGAACTTGCTTACTCTGTGGCAGTGATTTAAGGTTGATGCAAGATAAAAGAAGAGTGCTAATGGGATGTAATATAAGGTCAAAAGAACCAAAAGAAGACGCATGGCTCTGGATTTGAGAAAATACTCCAGATGCATTTGATAACTATTCTATCTTACAAACTCTCTGAGAGATGCATGAAGAGAGCCCAATCATAGATGCATCACCAGGAACGGTTTGTGTATCAACTTGGCAAGTGAGTGGCTTCCATGATTTTGGTATGAACATTTAAACTTGAGACAAGAATTGATTTCTTGACACTGAAAACAACGTTGAAGGCGGCATAAAATAAGAACCGACCGCATGGCTTCATAAGAATGTAAATAGTGAAGAAAAGTTTGGTTAATGGGGGTTAAGTTGTTGTTAAATCTACTTACGAAATATTTGGGTATGAGCATCTAACACCATAAACATTTTTTGAATGTAAAAATATACATGAAGTTTTTAAAAACAATGCAAAAATGTCATGACCATTGAGTCAACATTGACTGTTTACCAAAACACGTAGGCTAAAAAAATGGTATACATGGAGTTTTCAAAATGATGCAAAAATGCCATAAACTGTTAAAAAACTCCATATGCATTTTTGTACTATTTTAGAAACTTTATATGTATTTTTGCACCATTTCATGGTTGAATTGTCTTAACAGCATTTTTCGTCATTTTGAAAACTTCATATGAATATATATTTTCTTCTAGAGGCATTTTTAACAAGCAGTTATTGTGCACTGGCTAACCCAACTATAAGGTAAGCTTCAAAACGAGCAAGTTTCTTTTCAATACAAAACTAAAAACACTACTCAAGTTCTAAACGGCTTTAAATCATCTTCTTCACTAA